ACAATTTTTCAAACGAATATGTTGTGGGAAACAATATCTGATTTGATTCAAAGTAGGAGAAAAAAATGTTCACACAAACAAATGTTGTTGGAGTTCAATACATTGGTTGAGTTTCTTATTTGATAAAAACTCGATCAAAATTATCATCAAAGTTTTAGCCAAAAGTTTGCTATTTGTTCCGATCGTTTTTAAAAAGTGGAGGTACCTTGTACTCAGGTGTGTGTTAGTTTTTTGTTCTTTTTTTGTTCATTTTTTGGGTTTCATGCAAAATCAGGAACTACGAAAATTCATCGGAATTGTTCGATTAATATATCATACTATAATTTTTTCAGTCGTGATTTGAACGGCCTCAAAATATTTTGAAAAGTCGAGAAAAACTGATTGGAAATTTGAGACGCAGGCTTACAATAGTTATGTTTAAGCTTGAAAAAACGTGAAACTGTAGCCTACTGGAGTAAAATTGGTTTTTGCAACTCATAGCTCCATTTTTGAAATCAGAAACTTGAAAAATGCAAAAAAAAATTGGCACACAAATATAGAAAAAAAAATGAGAAATTTTTTGAATTGCTTTTACAATTTATTTTTGTTTTTCCTGCCATTTTCTGCAAAAGCTGTTTACCAATTCACCTATTGAATTATAATTATCGCATTTGCCCTTTTTTCCCCAGATTTTCTTAAATCACATTATACAGAAAAACTACTTTAAATTTAAAAAAGTTGTATTTTAAGACTGGTCGGAATATACTGAGCTACTTGCTCCGTAACCGCCTGTCCTTGTTCATTATGTTACTTTTTATTTATAATCAACCTCCTCTCCAATTTATGTTAATAGTAAATTAATAAATGTACTCGAAGTACATCATCTTGTTCCAAAATTGAATTATGACTGTGGATCAAGAGAAACAAATATGTATCAGCAGCAAAAGGTGGTCAATTATTCGAAACAGAAGTTTCGTGGAAAGCATTACATGTACCAGCCTGTTTTTTGTATCAATAAGTTGATGATATCATTAAACATAGAAAAGTCTTTCAAAGTCGTTGGAACTTTTTCAAATTTTTTTTCGAAACAAAATCGAATCTTTTTGTATCAGAAAATAATATGTTTTTCTTCATAGGAAATCCTCGAAAATTTTCTTCCTAGGTTCCTATTTTCCCCCCTAAATTTCTCATTTCTTATCGCTTCTTCAGTGATTAATTTTCTTATTTTTGCTGCTCATATTTTGAAAACAAAAAAATGTTCACGAGTTTCGCTGGCTAAATTTTGGTTCCCATTTTCTTTTTATAACATCATCAAGAGTTTAGTTAAGCTCAATTGCCAATTTCAAAAACCTGAAAAAAAAACATTTTTGGATTTGATTCGAAAAAGGAAAAACATTCAACAAAAACGTTGTTAGGGTTCAAAACATTGGTTGAGTTTTTTTTGATAAAACTCTTACGGAAACTCAAAATTCTCATTGATTTTTCCAAGCAAAAAATTGCTATTTGTTCCGACCATTTGGAAAAAATGGAGATTTTTGTATTCGGTGAGTTTTAGTTTTCTTCTTTTCTTTTTTTTTCGCAAAATCATTAATAAATAATCATAATTGGTAATTGTTGATTGAAATATCAAATCAAAGTCTTTTGAGTCGCAATTCGAATGGTTTTAAAAAATTTTCTAAGATTTTTCTCAGTGTTGAGAAAACCCGGTTTCTCAGTGTTGAGAAAACCCGGTTTCAAAAAACCCATTATAATAAGCCGTGACAACTTAGTTTTATTCGAGTAAAATTTTTTTTTTCGAGGTTTATCGCCTGTTTGGGAATCACATACTTGAAAAAAAATCGTAGAAAAAAATTTTGGAAAGTGATTATACTTTTTTTTGTTTTTTTAAATTTTTTTCTAGTCTTTTTCTGCGAACTTTTTTTGTAAATTAGCCAGTTTATAACTGTCGCATTTGTAAAAATTTCATTTTGTTGTTCAGATTTCTCTTTCACACCACACAGAAAAAAAACAATAAATTGAAAAAAATTTAGGACTATGGTCCTGAACACTCAGTGGTGCTTATTCTGTGAATTATCGGCTATCACTGTTCATTATCTGTATATTAATTTATAGTCAACCTACTCATTTTATGCCAATTTCAGTTCATTGGCAACCTATTATATCTACTCGAAATACAATTTCAGCAAATTGTCTCATTGTCCATGTTTCAGCCATAATTAAAATCTTATCTTGACTTCAGCGAAAATTGATTTAAATCAGGGGATCAAAAATTTCAAAAAATGAAAATTATAACAGCAGCAAGATCCCCTCAAAATAATTTTGAACTGCATTTTCAGAAAGTATCACTTAAGAAATTTCAAATTGCTTGCGAGTTTTGTCTCTCAAGGTACCTTTGACTTTGAATTTTAGTCAATTTTTCTCCGCAAACCCGGTCAATTATTCAGTACAACCTTAT